ATTGTTCCTGATCAACAAAATGGCATTGCAGCTGCCCCCAAGTGGCTTAAATAAAGTCCTGCTTAAGCTCAGGTCTCCTGAAAGCTTAAGTCTTTGTCACACCAAGAGACCCTGCCTTCAGATAGTTTCAGGAACACCAGCCCATTGGAAATTTGCCAACACCACCTTAAATACTTCTGTCTGTAATGGGTAGGTAGGCTCTTGCTCTCTCTTCACTTTGAGTTACCCCAGATAACAAGAGTTATGAGGACTATGTAGGAATGTGAAGTGTTTCATTTTGAGGCAAAAGTCACTATGAGTTCAAACTGACTCAATGGCATCTAATAGCAACAACAGGGCTTCCCTCTTGGTTTCTATTTCCTGTCCGCTGTAGTTGAGCTTATTGAAAGATAGGGGTTGAACCAGTGGTTCTCAACCTCACAAGATTTTTCTTCCTGGGGATATTTGGCAATGTCTGAGTGCATTTTAGTTTGTCAAAACTAAGACTGGGAATTACAAATATCTAGTTGAAGGGTAAAGATACTGCTGTCTTGCAATTATATGTTTTTCCTTGATCAGTCCTTAATTCCCTTAGACTCAATACAATATGTATATCCAACTACCTCCTCAAAATTATGACTAAAATTAGAGACATATGAAATTTAATGACTTCTGAAACAAATTTCTGCAGCTCTGGTGTGGTGCTTTAGGATAAAAACTTCAAGGTCAGCAGTTCAAACCCACCAGCCCCTCCTTGGAAACCTTATATAGGATCACTGTGAGTTGGAACCAACTCAACAGCATGTAAGAGTAAAAAGGAAACAAATTCTCATTCTCTTTCCTCACCCTAAAATTCACTCTTCCTTTTCTTTCTATTTCTATCCCAATAAGTAGTAGCATTCTGTTCTTTTATTCCTCTATTGATTTTGCAATATAGATAAAAACTTCCAGCTCTACCTTCTAACTATATGCTCAACATTACGACTTATCTCCCTGTCCAAGGTATTTCTGTTCTTGCTTCCCACCACTGTGCATAGTAGCCTTTTCATAAGGAGGGAGTAAGTCTGTCACTCCTCTGTCCAGAGCTGCTAAGGGATTCTAATCTCACTTCTAGTAAAATCCAGTGTGTTTGGAGAAAATTTTGCTCTTTTTCTTGACCTGAATGCTTATTTTCACCTGGTCTCCTGCAGAAGTCTCTGGCCTACCTCTTAATGTGTGGATTTTAAGTAAGTTAATCAATTCTCACAGCCCTATAATCCAACAGAGATCTCCAGCCTGCTACCTGACCCACAGATTAGGGACTTGCCTGCTTCCACAATTGCATGAGCCATTTCCTCACAATTGTGTCAGCTACTCCCTTGAAGCCTCATATATGACACTGAGTCAAAAGTTTTTGCTACTAGGATTCTAGTTCATATCTAAAATAAAAAACCCACTGCCGATGGGTTAATTCAAAACAAAACATGTTTAACCACGACCATGCTGTAGGATCAGCAGTGGGCTGCAAACCACAAGGACAGTAGTTCAAACTCACCAGCCATTCCTCAGAAACCCTATACAGTATCACCTAACAACAACACGTTCAGTGGATAGGAGTCCTGGTGTGGCACTCTAGGGTAAAAACTGGTAACTACAAGGTTGGTGGTTCAGACACACCAGCCACTCCTTGGAATCCTTTTGTTGTTAAGTGCTATCAAATCAGTTATGACTCCTAGTGACCCTATATAGGATTTCCAAAGAGCAGCTGGTAAATCTGAATGACCATCTTTTCAGTTCAAACCAATGTTTCGGTCCAGTGCATTATCCCACAGCGCTACATCAAAAACCTTATTCAGAATTGCAGTTAGTTGGAAACTGACTCAATGGCTACAAATATATTCTCTCAGTAATCCACTTGTCTTTTTATTTAAGTTTCAAAGTTTCTAAAGGCCACAGGACAATCACAAATGTTTTCAATTTTCTAAATAATTCTTCATAATAAACAACATTTATGAGAAAAAGCAAGGCAAGTACTGCCAAGGAGTTTTTTTTTTTTTTTTTTTTTTTCCTATCAAGACAATTCACCTGTTCATTCTTTGAGAGTAAGTAGCAAGGGATGTCCTATCATAATTTCACTAGGAAACCTCATCCTATTAACCCGGATCCTGTCCCCAAATTCAAAGAAAATTTAAAAGGAATACAACTTGAGTCCCTCATGGGTACTAAAACAGCCATTCTGATGTAAATCAAAGAATGTAGAATACTTTGAGGAAGGTTATAGAAAGGACAATACAACAGCAGAACAGTGTAGACCTAGATGGAGAATAGGTCAAGAAAGTTGACATATAGCTTCATGTTTTGATTGTTTTGTTTAATACAGGTTTCTGTGATTTGTAACAAAAATGTTTAACTTAGCCTCTATTTATGTTTACTTCACTGGTTTCACTTCTTCAGAGAGCCTTCTGTGACCTCAGAATATGCAATAGTCACCCATCTACCTTTCTCCTTAACGGTGATTACTACCCATCATACTTTACATGAGAGTTGGTGAAAAAATTCAGTATGTTATAAAGTGTTGTGTTGTTGAGTCGGTTCTGACTCATAGTGACCTTGTATAGGGTTTCCAAGACTGTAAATCTTTGCATAAGTAGAAGCCTTGTCTTTTTCCTGCGACATGGCTAGTGTGCTTGAACAGCTGACCTTATGGTTTACAGGTCCCTGTTTATCCTTAAGTGCCAATGTGTTCCCCACTGTTCCCCTTGTACTGAGAAAGATGAATTATATTTAGTAGGTATAAAGTAAATATTTGCTGCATGAATATATAGGACACAGTAATTACAGCTATTATAATTATTATCATTACATTACTAAGCAGCCATTGTACCTGCCTATCTTTTATACATTCAAGAAGCTCTAGAGTAATATATTACCTGCACTAAGAAAACACGAACTTTTCCTTCAGAAACTCTAATGCCACTAAGTGGGAGGAAGAGAACAGGATAATATAGCAGTTTTTCTCATCGTAACATAATTTTGAACATTTGCTGGGAATGATTTTCAGTTTAAGGAGATTGTCAGTTATCATTAATGACACAACTGCAGGGCTCAGACAACAGTGCTATCTTTCTGCTACAGACACAGATGAACCAAACTACCGGCATAAATTCAATTCTTCTGACTTAAAAAGTTGGGTCTGAGGAGAAAAAGGGGCACTTCTTTTAAATACATCTTAAAGCTGTGATTTTTACGAGTTCAGAATTAAGAGCTTTATATTCAGAGAGGAAGGGGCGTATATTTTAGTTTGGATACGGTGAAACTTACTTCACAATAAAGATGGCACGCATTAAGCAGCAGGGATTAATTCAGGTGAATCTGGGCTAGTTCGCTACCTACCTTCGTCCTGTGTATGTCCATATTCACACTGCAGCACTGACTTGGCGGGTTTTATTTCTAAATCTCGGAGGAGATTCTGTTTTCACTTTTGTCATAAGTGACATGTGCACACTATTTGTTTCAAGTGACTGGGGCTCTTAACAAAAACTTACCTTTGAGGTGAATGACAAGCAGTGGTGTCAAGGATCGATGTTTAGTTCAAGACTCAGTGACCGCCTCCCCACCCCCGACACCCTACACCAAATATGTTAGTAAAATACATTTTGTATTATTCTTGTCTGTCACATGAACCTCAGTGGAAAGGAATAAATTTGAACCCTCAAGGGAAATAGTAATGGAATCAAAACATTTTGAATTGACATGAAATTTTTCTGTGGATGACAGAAGGACTGTAAAATCAGGGAAGTTCTACACTACAGCTGTCAATTGAATTGTGTTGCTGCCCCGTGAGACCCCATCTGTAAGCAAAGGAACATCAAGGATTTCTGTCATACACAGGAATTAGGAGAGAAGCCCACCGAAAAAATGGACACAGCCAAGATGTTGGTTCTTTAAGTCACCCACTATGGCAACACTAGAAAATTAAATAATTACCAATAAGATCATTTATAAGGAAGGAAAAATAAACATTTTGGGAAGATGGGGTCAAGGATAAAATCTGGTTGTAAAGGTGAAGTGTAAAGACACAGAGTCACTTACAGGTATGGGGTCTGATTAGAAATAATAAAAAAGTGAATATACCTGTCTCAAGGACAAGTAGCATAGTGAATTAAGCATTCAGCTGCTAACCACAAGGTTGGCATTCTAAATCCATCAGTTACTCCACAGGACAAAGCTGAGGTTCTCTTCTCCCATAAAGAAGTGGTACTAGCTAGATGATTCCCAGCTGCCACTACCAACTGTTACCAACTGTTCTGAAAGGGATCACATTAGAAAGTCTTTGACCAAGTGAGAGACTGCTGCCCTCAGCCACCCTTCAGGTCTGGAACAAAACTCACCATGTAACCCAATTTTCAACAAACTGGTAGACAGGTGTATAGGGGGGACAACAGCACGAGTAAGGCATGCGAACCATGGGCTGGCCAAGGATTTAAGATCAAAATGGCAACACTACCTAAGGACAAACTAAAGAAGGGCTGGGAAGAAGGCTGGAATGACAATAAGAACCACAAGGATGGAATAGGATAACTTCTTAGTCTCAGAAATCCTATGGAGCAGTTCTACTCTGTCCTGTACTGTTACTATGAATTCAAATCATTTCATTAGCAGTGCATTATGGATTTTGGCTTTAAACTTCTCTCAGAATATTGAAAATTGTTCCTGATTTGCCATCTACATTGATTTTCACATTTGTTTTCACATTCAAAGGTGAATGTACCAGATTTGTGTTCTGGCATAATGAGGGTTTGAACATCCAATGTTAGCAAATGAATGCTTAGGTTCTGTCTCTATCTCTTCTCTTGCATAAGGACAACATTCACATTGGATTAGCATGGATCTTACTCTGGTATGAATCCACAAAAACTTAAGTGATAGCATCTTCAAAGACCCTATTTACAAACAATGTAATCTTTATATGCACTGAGTCTTCAATATACAGACTCTGAAAGACAGCATTAAAAATATGACCCAAATCACCCCCATCATACCTCCAAAGTGTGGTGGTGGACCACAGAGAAGAACCACACCTTGACCTTCTCGGACAGACACTGTACTTCTTGTTTTGGTTTCAAATTCTTCAATATCTTGGAGAGAAAATGAAATAAAGAAGGTTTAGAATTTAGTTTCTTTTAAAAGAAATTTGTAAAGAAAACTATTGGAATTATTTATGCATTTAAGTATAATGGATTCTCATAAAAGGATGAGATTTAGTTGAATAACAAATTTACAATTGTTAAAATCTTTGTTCTTTTTTGAAATATAATTAAAAGTGTGTGTAATAAAGATGCTTGCAGGGTATACCCTTTGTTGGTTGATGATGCATGGAGGGGATTGTAACCATGGCAATGAACGGTATATGATAGGGAGAACATTAGTTTTACATCCATCCTATTTCACAATAAAACATTTTTTAAAAAAGAGCTAGAAAAGCCTATACTTGCAATATTTAAGAGGTAACATGTGTTCAAGAGCCAATGATCCAGAAGGAAGAAGTCCAAGGTGCACTGAAGGCACTGACAAAGGAAAGACATTACAAATTGATGGGATACAAATTGACATCTTTCAACAAACTGATGTCGCACTGACGGCATTAAGTCATTTATACAAACAAATTTCAAAGACAACTGGGTTAGCTGATTGGAAAGATCCATATTTGCACCCACTCCGAAGAGAGGTGACTCAATGGAATGTGGAACTCATCCAACAATATTATTATCCCATGATATATAATTTTTCTAAATATAATTTTTAAATCCTCTGCAATAGTACACTGACAGGAAAGTGCCAGATGTTCAACTCAGATTTGGATAACAATGTCAAATGGGGGCTATCATTGCTGACATCAGATTGAGCTTTCCTGAAAACAGAATAACAGAAAGATGTTTGCCTTTGCTTTTATGACTACACAATGGCTTTTGATTGTGGGGATCATGAAAATTTTTGGAGAAAATTGTAGAGATGAGTATTCTGGAACACTTATACATGCTCCTGACGAACATGTACATAGACCAAACGGCAGTTGTTTAAACAGAACAAGGAAACACAGAATGGTTTAAAATTAGGAAGGATGTGCACAAGAGTTGTATTCTTTCACCATACTTATCAATCTATGTGCTGAGCACATAATCTGAGAAACTGTACTATGTGAAGAAAAACGTGGATTCAAGGAAGACTCGTTAACAACCTGTGATATGCAGATGACACCTTGCTTGATTAAATGAAGAGGACTTAAAGTACTTGCTCATGAAGATCAGTGACCACAGCCTTTGGTATGAGTTGCATGTCAATGTAACATCAGGATAAACAGTGAACAGATTGAATTTGTTAAAGAATTCATTTTGCTTGAATCAACCATCAACACTAATGAAAGCAGAAGTCACAAAATCAAATGATATATTGTATTAGGCAAATCCACTGCACAAGACATATTTAAAGTGTTGAAGGGCAAAGATGTCAGTTTGAGGACTAAAGTGCTCCTAATCCAAGCCATGTTATTTTCAATAACCTAAGATACATGTGAAAGTTGGACAGTGACTAAAAACAACAATAGAAATAAAAAGGATAATAACAACAGTATGAAGAGTTGTAATTCAAAAAAATTTGAAAATGTAGAGGAAATGGATACATTTTCAGAAAATCACAACCTACCTAAACTAACACAGAATGAAACAGAAAATATGGATACACAAGAAATTGATCAGGTCATCAAAAACTCCAAAAAGAAAAAGTACAGCCCCAAATGATTTTACTAGTGAATATTATTCAGAAAAGACCAGACCCCAATTTTACTCAAACTATTCCACAATGTAAAAAAGGATGGAAAACTTCCTAATACATTTTATGAAACAAAGTTAACCCTCATATCAAACCAAGCAAGGACATCTCTAAAAAATAAAATTACAGACGATATCCCTCATGAACAGAAATGCAAAATTTCTCAATGAAATTCTAGCCAATAGAATACAGTAATATATATTTTAAAAATGGCATATCATGACCAAGTTGGATTCATACCAGGGATGCAAGAATGGTTCATTATTAGAAAAGCAATCAATGTAATTCACCAGATAAATAAAAAAAAAGATCAAGAAGCACATGATCATATTGGTTGATGCAGAAAAGGCATTTGACAAAATCCAACACCCATTCTTGATACAAACAGCATAATTAAGAGAATATATATCCAAAGCCAACAAACAATTCTCTATTAAAAATAACTGAAGTCCCTCTCCCAACATGGTGGCCTCAGCAAAAAAGAAGAATAAGAAGGGAAAGACTATCTCCTTGACAGACTTCCTGGCTGAGGATGGGGGGACCGGTGGAGGAAGCACTTATGTCCCCAAACCAGTCAGCTGGGCTGATGAAACAGACAACCTGGAAGGAGATGTTTCAACCACATGGCACAGAAATGATGACGACATGTATGCACCACCTCCAGTTGACTGTTCTATACTGCCCACTAATCCACGGGCTGCTCGGGAAGCCAATATCAACCTGAGCCTTCTTCCCAAATCTCCACCCTACACTGCTTTTCTAGGGAATCTGCCCTATGATGTGACAGAAGACTTCATTAAGGAAGTCTTTAGATTATTAAATATTAGTGCAGTGCACTTACCACATGAACCCAGCAATCCAGAGGGATTAAAAAGTTTTGGTTATGCTTAGTTTGAGGACCTGGATTCTCTCTGTCCAGTGCCCTGAGCCTCAATGAAGAGTCTCTAGGTAACAGGAGAATTCGAGTGGATGTTGATGATCAAGCACAGGATAAAGACAGGGATGATCCTTCTTTTGGCCGAGATAGCAGATACAGACTGGAGGGCCCGTCCTACCACAGACAGCTTTGATGACTACCCACGTGGACGAGGTGATGATAGCTTTGGAGACCAATATTGTGATCGTTACAATTCAGACCAGTATCGTGATGGCCCCCACCAGGATCTGGATTGAGATAGGGGTCGGGATTGAAACGATGACCGAGGTAGCAGAGGCTATGACTCCAGAGTAGGCAGTGGCAGAAGAGCATTTGGTACTGGGTACCAAAGGGATGATGACAACAGAGGAGTTGGGGACCGCTATGAAGACTGATACGACAGACAGGATGATCGGTCATGGGGCTTCAGAGATGATAGAGGTCCCACTCAAAGACCCAAACTGAATCTAAAGCCTCAGAGTGCTCCTAAGGAAGATGATTCCTCTGCTAGCACCTCCCAATCCAGTCGAGCGGCTTCTATCTTTGGAGGGGCAAAGTCTGTTGACACAGCTGCTAGAAAAGGAGAAGTAGAAGAGTGGCTACATAAGGAACAGGAGAAATGACAATGTCAGCTGGATGAGCCAAAACTAGAACGGCGGCCTCGGGAAAGACAGACAAGCTGGCGAAGTGAAGAAATTCAGGAACAAGAAAGGTCGAGGACAGGGAGTGAGTCATCACAGACTGGGACCTCAGCCGCATCCGGCAGAAGTAAGTCAGATCAGGATACAAAAAGCAGAGAGTGAAAATCTCTGGAAAATGAAACCTTTGGTAAGGAGGAAGACTGCCACTCTCCAAACTCTAAGCCTCCCAAACCTGACCAGCCTCTAAAGGTAATGCAGGCTCCTCCACCAAAGGAGAATGTTTGGGTGAAGCTCTCATCCTCCTGCTCCGTCTCACAGCTCAAACACAGAGCAACAGTCCCCCATAAGTGTTGGAGGTAAGGTAGCTCCAACTCAAGCATCAGAAGAAGGACCAGCAAGAAAAGATGAAAACAAAGTTGATGGCGTGAGTGTCACAAAAGGCCAAAATGGGAACTCCAGCCATGGTCCAGGAGAGGGCAGGAACAAAGACCACTGGAAGGAGACTGATAGGAAAGATGGCAAAAAGGATCAAGACTCCAGATCTGTACCTCAGCCAAAGAAATCTGAAGAAAATCCAGCCTCTAAGTTCAGCTCTGCAAGCAAGCATGCTGCTCTCTCAGTTGATGGTGAGGATGAAAATGAGGGAGATTATACTGAATAGACTTTCACATGCTGTACTTTCTCCTAGTCTCTCTCCACCCCAGAACAGTCAAGAGCAAATCAAACGTCTATCCAGACACAACAAAAGAAAACTCAGTCTCCTGAAGACCTTTCTTAACTTTATTTTTTTTAATGAAATGAAATTCTTTCACATGCTGCTGAAGCTTTTAAAACATTGAACTAACTGGAAAATCACGAACAAAGCCAGAGAGAAAAAAGGCAGCTTGTAAAGGAAAAGTTGTGTATTTTATGATACTAGCGTGATTAGTGCCTAGCAGCCTCTGTTTAGCAGAAATGTTAATGACAGTGAATTCAAGGTCTGAAATCTGCTTGGACAGGAAGATTGTAATTCTTAACTATCCTATTGTGGCATATATGAATTCTGAAACATCTGAATAAATTTTCCATCCTCGGAAACGTAAAAAAAAAATTTTTAAACAAAGTAACTGAAAATATTCCCTTTGTGAACAGGAACAAGACAAGGATGCCCTTTATCACGATTCCTATTCAAAATTGTGTTGGAAGTTTTTGCTAGAGCTATAAAACAAGACAGGGAAATTTAAGGTATTCAAATTGGCAAAGAAGTCAAAATATTGGAACTCATATTGGAAGATCAATATACAAAAATCAATTGGATTCCTCTATATTAATAAAGACAGCGCTGAAAAGAAAAGTAGGAAAACAATACCATTTATAATAGCTATTCAAAGAATGTGAGTTCTGGTGTGGGCACTGTGGGTAAATGTACAAGTTCAAGCTCCATAAAATCATACACAAATAAAACTACAAAAGACGACTTCAGGAAACTAAAAAAGATTCACAAAAATACAACAAAATACCATGCTCATGGATAGGAAGATTTAACATTGTGAAATGTCTATGACTACTACACAAAGCAATCTCTAGAAATAACACAATCCCATCTACATTCCAGCATCATTCTTTCAAGAGATGATAATCACGAAAATACCAATAGAGAGGGAAGGAGTCTTCATATCAAGTATCAATTCTATCCCCTCTGTATACAGGGTTGATAGGGATGGGCAACTTAGACATTGACTACCTAAAATGAAGGGGAGATAAAGGCACAAAG